AACCTAAAAAAAAAAAAAAAAAAATTAATAAGGTACATGTAATAGTTTGCTATTTTAATTTCATAAAGCAAAAACATCAATGAAGCGTATTTTACCTAATACTTTCACCCTTTCTTCCTGTATAATTATCTCTTTTCCTTCTTTTTTAGTTCTTTTATTTTTAATTTGTTTCTTTTCTTCATTATTTTTTGTCGTATTACTAGTAACTAGTTTCTCGACACGTGCGTTGCACGTGTATATATCGAGTCATGTAATGCATAATTTTGTACAATAATATCAATGTTATTAAAATAAAATTTTAAATAAATATGTATATATGAAGAATAAAGTAGAAGTTTAGTTGTATGTTCAATGTGGATCGTCATATATGGTGACTTGTTTTGTTGGGGTAAAGATGCTTCGATATAGTTTGAACCTACAAAAATAAAAAAATAAAATTTAATAAGGTACATGTGATAGTTTGCTATTTTAATTTCATGAAGCAAAAACATCTATGAAGCGTATTTTACCTAATACTTTCTGATAGATTGATTTTCTTAGTTTATGTTTCTTTCATCTGTGCTGGTTGCTCGATCATGATCAAGACTCTAATTGTCGATATTGATATTCTTTTGCAGGTGCAACATAAAGTTTTCTTTTCAATATAAAGTTGGCCATGTGAGAATATATTGTGAAGATCCAACAAGGGAATTGTTTGACCATATACTTTATTTATTGTCCTTGCAAAACATAAAGGAATTAGCATCTCTAAATTCTGCAATAGCATTACAAGTCATCCGACCACATTAATTAGTTTATAAATAAAAGAAGATGAGCATTCTCCAGTCATGTATGATAAACTTTTATGATAAGCATAACACAACATCCACGCCGATAATGTGATGCACCGTAGCAATGGCGTAGCCACATACAATGAACAGTGGTCCGTTGAACACCCTTCATAAAAACATTATACTTTATATATACAAAATTATACCGGATATACAAATCAAAAATTACTTTTTATACATGTATATTAAATCTTGAACACCCTTAACGAAATTTTTGGCTTGGTCACTGCACCGTAGGTATATAACTATCATATGATATGAACAACCCTTAATCCTATTAATTGTGAGGTAAGGAAGGACTCTAAACGCCATGTCGATATGTATGCAGTAGAGAAAGGATGCACATTTGTTATGTCGAAGAACAAAGAGGTTTGCATCAACGAATGAAAAGAAAAGTATTTTTGCTAAGGTTCCACATTATATATCTGATAAAAACTATAGATTCACCTCTATATATTGAGGTCTCACATTATACATGTAGAGGCACTTACATATAGTATTGGTATAATCTCACGTAGTATCATCTCTGTAGAAGCAAAGGAGTTATTTCAGACCCAAATCAATGACAAGAAGATATAAATTTGTACACGTACCTTCATCAAAGAACTCTATGGCTCTATAATAAGGACAATCATTTTTTATATACTGATCATCAAGGCTTTGTTCTCATTTTTAAAAGCCAACTAATAGTTTCTCTGTTCTTAATTGAAAAGGCAGCCACGGTTGATAACAGAATAAGAAAAAGGAACATGCAGTTAGAAACTATTCTGAATATTAGAAACTAATATGATTTATATGAAGGATTACAATCCCTTCAATTGAGTAAATCATGCTAGAGAATGGTAATGAAAGTATGAAAGAATATATATAGGCAAGGTGTTTTAAGGAAGTAATCTTTAGTATAGTATCTCCTCATGCAGTAGAAATGGTTTTAAAAAATCTATCCCTAGGATAGAATACCCATTTTAGTTTCTTCACGACAAAAACTCTAAGCAAATAGTAAGAGGTGAATGGAAGAATTGATAAAGTGATTTGAGAAGAATGACAAATTGGCAAAGTTGGCATAAAGAATTTAATAATTGCATTATTTTTTCTCTACACCTTGACAATAGAGACAAACATTAAGGCAAGCTTTTCTCCTTCAAGGCAACGGTTGAACAAGACTTTTTGAAAGCACTGTTAAACTATTTTTGAAAGAACACTTAGTTGTTAATAAGAATAAACACAACTTTTTAGAAAAGCCACTTAAATCAAAATATTTTTTCCCTATTTAAATGGTATTGCTAATATATTATTCTTAATTATTTTTAGAAGTAGAATATTTAGGTAAATAAAAAGGGTATTTTAGTAATTCAACTTTTAACTTTAGGGGTTTATGCTTTTAATATAATATAGATATAGATTATGTATATGCATTGCATGTATAAATCGTGTCAATTATTACAGTATTTTTATTAAAATTAATATTTTCAAAATCATACATATTTTTAAATATGAATATTTCTTTTTCCTTTTTTTTTTGGTTCTTTTGTTTTTGTTTCTTTTATTCATTCTTTCTTGTTGTATTACTAGCATTGCATGTATAAATCGTGTCAATTATTACAATATTTTTATTAAAAATTAATATTTCAAAATCAAATACATATCATAAAAACTATTTGTTTGAATTATAAAATATAATTAAAGAGTACAAAATAAGTCAGCAATAGTAATGATCTATTCAAAATGAATAAAATTTCTAAACTTCCAAAGCGATCAAATAAGCTAGACAGAATTAGTTGTGATTATATCACCTTTATTTTATGAGGTACAAATGTATTATTCCTCGTTCATTTTTACTTATCCACTATTAATTTTGCATATCCCTTAAAAAATAATAAATAAAGTGTATAATTACCATAATATTTATATTAATTGATATATATTTTTAATAATTTTAAGAAATAATTTAAAATGAGTAATTAATGTTGTGGTATAACATAAATAAGAAATTGTTTCTCTTGCTACACAAAAAGTGACTAGCGTAAGCGAAAATCTATTTTTTAGAATAATAAACAACTAAACTCACGTATTATTTATGATATGATATCCTTTACCCGATTATTAACCTAATAAAAGATGCCGAACCCGCCGCCTCTCTCCTCCCCAGGTCGCCGGCGGTCTTCTCTCGGTTGCTGACCAACGCCATGAACAAGCATAGACTTGGACTACACCATTGGCTGTGCTTCTCCTATCTCTCTAGAACAACAAAGAGACCTTTTACTGCTTGGCATTTACCTGCTGAAGCAATATCATGTGCTGTTCCCACATCCTCCCCAGTTAATAATCACAAGACCTTGTGTTTTTCACTTGCAGAGCAGTTAATACTCCGGGGGTTATTCGGTTCAGCTCAGAAAGTGATTCAGAGAATCATCAAGCAATCCTCATCAGTCTCTGAAGCTATCTCAGCCGTTGAATTCTCCATTTCTCGCGGCGTTGAGCCTGATGCAACTAGCTACGGTTTTCTCATTCGACAACTCGTGGCATCTGGTGAAACCCAAATGGCTGAGGATATTTATGTATATTGCATTTTGAAGAGAGGTATTGAACCGAAAGATAAGTCTTTATTGAATTCCATGGCCATTTGTTATTGTAATTTGGGTAAATTAGAGGAAGCAAAATTGCTTTTTGATAAGCTATTGGATATGAAATTGAGGCCTTGTAGTAGCACGTGTAATGCGCTTATTAAGGGATTTTGTGGCCAACATAGAATCTTGGATGGGTTTGATGTTTTTGTAGTGGCTGTTGATGCTGGAGTATTACTAAGTTTCGGTTGTTACAATAGGTTAGTGGATGGATTTTGTTGTCGCGGGTCCTTAGACGAGGCACTCTATGTGTTTGATGTAATGTGTGAGAGAGGGGTGTCGCCCAATGTTCATTTGTTTAAGACATTGGTTCTTTCGTTGTGTAAGAGGGGTCGAGTCGAGGAAGCTGAATTGCTGAGCATGGATATGGAGTCTTATGGTTTTGTTCTGGATAAAGTCATGTACACAACTCTCATTAACGCGTATTCGAAGAACAAGAAAATGAAAATGGCTATGAGGGTGTTTCTTAGAATGCTTAAGTTGGGATGTGAACCGGATAAGTATACTTACAACACGCTGATGCACGGGTTTTTTAGCTTGGGCATGTTGGACAAGGGTTGGGTGCTACATCAGCAGATGGCTGAATTTGGATTAGAACCTGATGCAGTAAGTTACCAAATCATGATTGGCAAGTATTGCAAGGATCATAAAGTTGATTGTGCGTTGATGCTGTTAAATAACATGATTCAGTGCAATGTTGCTCCAAGTGTGCACTCTTATACTGCTTTAATTGCTGCTCTTTATAAAGAGAATCGGTTAGCAGAAGTAGATGTCTTGTACAATAAAATGTTGGATAATGGATTGGTTCCTGACCATGTTTTGTTTTTTACCTTGGTCAACAATCATCCGAGAGGGTCAGAGATTACTCTAGCATGCACCTTTTTGCGGGCAATTGCCAAGAATGGTTGTGGTATTGACCTTTCTAACATCCCTAGCCCTTCCAGTCGAAAAGTTACTACAGATATCATGTCTGATATTGATCATCTCTTGGGAGAAATTGTGGCAAGAAACTTACCTCTGGCCAATGTTGCTTTCAATATATACATGATTGCTTTATGTTTAGGAGGAAAACTTGATTCTGCTCTTCTTTGCATGGATAAGATGGCAAGCCTTTCTCTTCAGCCTTCACTGTCAGCTTATAACTCTATGATCAAGTGCCTTTACCAAAACGGACTACTTGAGGATGCCAAATCCTTTGTTGAAGTTATGCAAGATCAAGGTCAAGTTCCAAATCAAGCAACATTCTTGATTATGGTGAATGAATACTGCAAACAGGGTGACATACAATCAGCATTTGAAGTTCTGGACCAAATGGAAGAGAGTGGATTGAAGCCTAGTGTTTTGATATATGACTCCATCATTGGGTGTTTGGGCAGACAAAAGAGAATAGATGAGGCCCTTGAAGTTTTCCTGAGAATGCTCGAGGCTAGAATTTATCCTGATGAAACTATGTTTGTGACAATGATTAATGCTCTATCAATAAATGGACGAGCTATTCAGGCCCATGAGCTCTTCGACAAAATGTTGGAAGATGGAGTTCAACCAAGCCACTATGCTTATACAGCTCTTATACATGGGTTAGTTAAGAAGAACATGATTGAGAAGGGCTGTGTATACCTTGATCGAATGATAGAAGAGGGTTTCATGCCAAATACTGTTCTTTATACTTCTCTAATAAAACAATTTTTAAGGAAAAGAGAGTTTGAATTTGCATTTAAGTTGGTTGATTTGATGGAAAGAAGTGAGATTGAGCGAGACCTGGTAACCTATATTACTTTGGTCAGTGGCGTCTCAAGAAATATTAGGTCACTTCATGGGAAGTGGCTTGTTCCGCAGAAACAGTATGAGAAATCCAAGGAAATGTTGTTCCGTCTACTTCATCAGAGTGCTATGTTTTCTAGGGAAAAATGTTTGAAAATCTCAATTAGCTCTCAGGAACAAATTAAATTTCTTGCACTTAGGCTGATAAACAAAGTGAAGAACACTCCCCTAATGCCAAATTTGTACTTGTATAATGGCATAATTTCAGGGTTTTGCTGGGCAGAGAAGATGCAGGATGCGTATAAGCACCTGGATATTATGCAAAGTGAGGGCGTCCAACCAAATCAAGTTACTTTTACTATTCTAATTGACGGGCATTTCCGAAGTGGCGAAATTGATCTTGCTGTTAATCTCTTCAACAGAATGAATGCACAGGGTTGTTCTCCTGATAAAATTGTGTATAACACTTTAATAAGAGGTCTATGCAAGCATGGAAGGCTCATTGATGCTCTTTCGATCTCATACACAATGCTCAAAAAAGGATTTGCCCCTTCTAAGGCATCATATGAGAATCTTCTCACTTCTCTTTGTGCTAATAATTGGAGTGTTCATGCACTGAAGATATGTGAAGATATGCTAGCCCATAAATATGTCCCTTGTGGCCATAATCTTAAATTGTTAATTTGTATGCTAGATGAAGAAAATAAGTCGCATGAAGCTCGTCTTATGAATGATTTGCTCCTTAACAAAAGAAGATTTATGATGTACACAAGCTAGAGGTTGGTTATGCAATCTCTCTGATATTGCTGGGCTTCATCCCCATACTGGTCCGTGTGCATGTGCAGGATACGGACTTTTGTGTGGGGCTATACGTTGTAGCTTCAGTACCCTCAGAACTCCCTTTGGTAAACTGTTTTCAGCCACTGGCTATGTGTATGTCTTAACTCTTATTTTTGTTTGAAGTTTCTAGGTGGTCTGGTATTCTCTGGATTCTAACGTTGAATGACTTGGTGGTTCTCAGGTGTGCATAATCCTATTTGAAATGCATTCGTAGCAGAACTCAGGAGGTAATCTACCTGATTATGCTCCATAACCAACCACTCTACTAAGAGGATTGTATACCATGCCCTCTTTAAATTCTTGGTCTAACCTTCTTGTTCCAGCTCAAAAGGAACTGTGCGGTTGTTCTTGGCATGGCCCATTTCATTCCCAGCTGATTAACAAAACAATTGGCGGACTTGTAAGGTAACAGAACAGTGCATAAACAAGTGCTTGTTGGTTTTAGATTCTTCCCTACACGAGTGATCTGATGAATGCATGTGTGCCCCTTCTTTGTAGATTATCTTGAGTCAGACAAGCTTCTTAGATACCAGCCCAACACAAACTTTGACTGGTGCATTAGCTTACCTTATCTGCTTCCACGGTCCAAAGTAGTCTGGTTGGTATCTTTGAGAGGTATTCTATATCAAGATTTAACAGTGAAGGAGCCATTTCCTTGACCTTTCCGGATGAGCTTATCATCTGTTGGAACCTTGGAATGAGGAACGCTGAGAAAATCGGAGATACTTCCCATCTCCCAATCAGTGAAGGTCCGCCTGAAGTTGATATTCCAATTGTTGTTTTCTCTGCTTTGTGCCAAGGTGAGAGTAATATTCTGTGACAGATTGTAAAGTGAGGGGAATTGGTCTTTAAGAGGAGAGTAGTATTACCAATTACATCCTGTGTATATAAGTTTGACTTCAGTCCTTGGTTGTGCTGTCTCAATACCAATTCATTTCTAGGCTGCCCCAATCCCTTCCTATGATTATTCACATCCTTGCTTCTATCCTGTTCTTTCTACAAAAATAATTAAACTTGATTATCAAAAAAGTTGTCTTTGGATGTTCTGAGCAAAAGTCAAATTTTGTCTAAACATGGAAGAAATTTTTGTTTCGTACTGACTTTTTGGTCTTGTACTCATTCATTGTCAGCAGCTATCCAGGTTAGAGGTCTACCTTTTATGCTATATAGGTGAGAAGGCCTTTCTAGTTCACTTTCTTTTCCTTCAATGTCGTTTCAACTTATCTAGTTTGAAACTTTCTCCTGATATGCCCTGTATTGATGGAAATACCTCCTCTCTTTTGCCTCCAGCAGATAGGATTGACTGCTTGTCAGTCTGTTTCTTTAATGCTATCTTGGTTTTGTTTTTTCAGTCAGTGTTTTATTGGTTCCGAAAGAAGTACTCTGGCAATTTTTTAGTACAATTCTCTGCCGTTAGTGACTATAACTACCAGAATGTGTCGTGAAAACCAGAATATAGAGTTTTTGCATAAAAGTCTGCTTCAGAAGCCACTTCCATATAGAGCCTAGTTACAAATCATAATTCTGTGGATGCAATTTAGTTTATTACGTGTAAGTCCAACGTCTTCCTTATACATTTTTTTGCGTGTAGCTATTATGCAGGTATGAGCGCAAGTCAGTTCTCCGATTCTTGGAGACTTCGGAAAACTATAGGGTGGAACGCTGCTTGCGTTTATACCAGGAGTATGGAATTGTAGATACAGCTTCTCTCTTGTTAGAAAAGGTTGGTGACATTGGAAGTGCCCTTTTGCTTGTTGTATCTTCGCTTGATGAAAAATTCATCCTGCTTGATACTGCTATTGAAAGTAAACACTGTGATGCGGCTCCCGAGCATGTCAAAGCTATTTTAAGCAAGAAAGAGGTTTTAGTTTCTTCTAATATTCTTCTTCTGTGATAAGGTTTGTCTTGTTAGGTGTTCCTTCAACATCTTATTTTATTGCAGGTCACTGACATGCTAGATATTTCGCGCACTTGTATTGGACTGTACCAGAGGAACAGCCCCCGATTGGACCCCCCAATGAAGCAGAGAGTCTGTGGTTTCAGTTTCCTCCCTTTTTTGATAGAAACTGTAGAAACTAAATCATGTTCTGCAGTTCAACTGAAATTGGTAGAAGGGGGTGTGTACACTTATGAATGGTACACACTTCTTGAAGAAGCAACTTTGTTGTGAAAAGACTTGGCAATGCAATCCTGTGCATGATGCTTGTCTCACACAAAACAACCTGCAGAGAGAGGTGTATCAATTTGTAGCATATGTTTCATGTGCAATAATGAGGAGGAAAGTAGCGCATATATTTTTTGCATTTTTTATTTTGTAGTTTAGCTTCTTTATTAGTGTAAATCTTGCTTTCCTTTAGTGCGTTTGTTGGTAAAATGAATAAAGAAATCAAAATATACCAATTGACGAGAGTACATCGCGGTTCAAATTGTTGGGCCTGTGCTAAGCACGGCTGCCTCGTCTAGTTTTAAAGTATTTCAGGCTAACGTTGACATTAGTGAAACTATTGACTATGGTTCATTATTGAACATTGCAGCATTTCATTCTTTATACAAGGATAGAAGTGGTACAAGCAGAATGTCATAAAAATTGGGATTTGGCCCGTACTCATTACTAGTGTTTACTTTTCATTTTGGAATTCAAAACAACATCTAATTCCCCATATGGCATCTGGTATTTGAATTTTCAATTTCACTAGCAGTTCCTCATTCTAGAAAAGCCCAAATTTGTAGAAATCCTGAAGAAATAACCTTTAAATCAATTCGAGAGTATTATGGACTATCTAATTAATGTTTATGCACTGAAGATTTAACACTTTAAGTTGATGTATGTGATTGACTTTCAAACTGTTATTGTCAATACAAATCATTAGTCATTTCTCTCAAAGATGCAAAAAGTCAGATTGAGAGATCTTGCAATATTTTTTTAAGTAGAGTGATCAAACCATTTAACAACGGTAGGGGATCACTGCATTAGATTTCTATATTCTTAATATTGTCTCATATCTTCTGCTTTCATAACAGGATCTTATAAGCAAAGAAAGTGCATCCCTTCATAATAGTCATATATCCAAACTCTAAGTCTATGTCTATTCACATCAGACATACTGCAAATTTAAGCTGACAAAGTTAATTTCTGTTAATTTCATGATCTTTATCTGAATATAAAGTCAAATTTTGAATAAGATCCGATTGTACTAAACGAAGGAGGCTTCATTTAGACGAATCCATCTTTTTTTACAACGATCTGTCATATTTCCGTCCTATTATCCAACAATTAATAAAATAAATAGTTATTTATTCATAAAAATTACTAGTATTATATATTTCAGCATGACGAAGAGCCAAGCGCCAAGGTCTTTACTCTTTAGTGCTTTTATATTATGTATCATAAATTTTTCATTTTATTGAGGAAAAAAGATCATTTTAATAAAACTGCCATAAAACTTAAATACATATCGAAAAAAATTATGCCCTATTATAAAATAAAAACTGTAAAGTAAAGATAATTATAGAGAAAAACTGATATATTATTCAAACTTCAAACTTAGCTGTCTGCATAAGCTGCTTGCAACCTGTCTGTTTAATAAGAAGTTGCTGCAAATCATTTCATTGAGCTGCTTGCAACCTGCCTGCATCAGCTGCTTGTAGATAAACTTCAACAGAGTACTAAATGGATAATCTTCTTCAGGAAGATTATCTATCGCGAAGTAATAAATGGACATCTACAATATAATTATTTTCATAACACTCCCCATTGGATGTTCATTAAAAGGTATTGTGCCTCGTTAAAATCTTACTAGGAAAAACCCAGTGAAAAAAATCCTAGTGAAGAAAAAAGAGTACACATATTTAGTAATACGCATTTCTAGTTGCCTCATTAAAAATCTTATAAGGAAAACCCTATGGGAAAAAACCTTAGTAAGAAAAAAAAAAGTACATCGCGTATTTTACTCCCCCTGATGAAAACCTTATTTCAAATATTTGAGTCTCTGCATTCCAATCTTGTATACCATCTTCTCAAAAGTTGAAGTTGGCAAAGATTTAGTAAATAAATCTATCGGATTGTCACTTGAACAGATTTGTTGCACATCAATGTCACCATTTTTCTGAAGATCGTGTGTGTAGAATAATTTTGGTAAAATATGCTTCGTTCTATCTCCTTTTATAAATCTTTCCTTCAATTGGGCTATGCATGCAATATTGTCTTCGTATAAAATTGTGGATCTTTTATCACACTCCAAACCATATTTTTCTTGAATAAAATGAATCACTGATCTCAACCATATGCATTCCCTACTTGCTTCATGAATAGCTATTATTTCAGCATGATTTGAAGAAGTAGCAACAATTGACTGCTTTGTGGAGAGCCATGATATGACAGTACCTCCACATATAAACACGTACCCGGTTTGAGATCGAGCTTTATGGGGATCAGATAAATAACCTACTTCTGCATAACCAACAAGATCTGCACTACCTTTGTTAGCATAAAATAAACCCATATCAAGAGTTCCCTTTAAAAATCGCAAAATATGCTTAATCTCATTCCAATGTCTCCGAGTAGGAGAAGAGCTATATCTTGCTAGTAAATTAACAGAAAATGCTATGTCAGGCCTTGTAGCATTAGCAAGATACATAAGTGCACCAATTGCACTGAGATAGGGTGTTTCAGGACCAATGAGTTCCCCATCCTCTTCTGGAGGTCGGAACGGGTCCTTATTCACTTCAAGTAATCGAACAACCATTGGTATACTCAATGGGTGCGCTTTGTCCATGTAAAAGCGTTTTAAGACTCTTTCTGTATAGGCAGATTGATGCATAAAGATCCTATTTGCTAAATGTTCAATTTGCAGTCCAAGACAAAATTTTGTCTTTCCAAGATCTTTCATCTCAAATTCTTTCTTAAGATATTCAATTGCCTTTTGGAGCTCTTCTGGAGTTCCAACAAGATTTATGTCATCAACATAAACAACAAGTATAACAAATTCTAATGCCATTTTCTTTATAAAAATACAAGGACAAATAACATCATTTATGTAACCCTCTTTCAGTAAATATTCACTAAGGTGATTATACCACATGCGCCCAGATTGCTTTAAACCGTACAAAGATCTTTGTAATCTGATTGAATAAATTTTTCGAGATTTCAAATATGCTTCAGGCATTTTAAATCCTTCAAGGATTTTCATGTAAATCTCATTATCAAGTGACCCGTACAGATAAGCTGTAACCACATCCATCATATGTATTTCAAGCATTTCACGTAAGGCTAAACTGATGAGATATCGAAATGTTATGGCATCCATAACGGGTGAATATATTTCTTCATAATCGACTCTAGGTCGTTGTGAGAATCCTTGTGCGACAAGGCGAGCCTTATATCTTTCAACTTCATTTTGGTCATTCCTTTTTCGCACAAAAACCCATTTATGACCAACTGATTTTATACCAGCAAGTGTTTAGACTACTGGTCCAAAGGCCTCTCTTTTAGCAAGTGCGCTCAATTCTGATTGAATTTTTCCTTGCCATTTTGGCCAATCAGATCTTTGTTGATATTCTTCAACAGATTGGGGTTCACAATCCTCACTATCTTGCATAATGTTAAGTGCAACATTATAAGCAAAAATATTATCCACCACTATTTCAGATCGATTTAAATTAATTCCATCACCAGTAGAACTTATTAAAAGTTCCTCGCTCACTTGAGTCTCGGGTTCAGTAATTTCTTCAGGAATCTCAGAACTAATCAGATCTTGGGTAATTTCAGGAGATCCCTTTATAGTATCGTTTTGATCATTTGTCGATTTTCTTTTTCGAGGATTTCGATCCTTAGAACCCAAAGGCCTACCAAGCTTCAGGCGTACTTTAGGTTCACTAGTTCTTATGCTAGTAGATGGTCCTGCTGAGACATCAATTCGTATAGGCACATTCTCTGCAGGGATATGTGACTTAGTTATCCTTTTCAAATCAGTAAACGCGTCTGGCATTTAATTTGCTATATTTTGTAAATGGATGATCTTCTGGACCTCCTGATTACATATAGGGGTACGTGGATCAAAATGAGATAATGATGAAACTTTCCACACAATTTCTCTTTTGATTTCCTTTTTCTCTCTCCCTAATTGTGGAAAATTTATTTCATCAAACCGACAATCTGCAAATCGAGCAGTAAATAAATCTCTCGTCAATGGTTCAAGATAGCGAATAATAGATGGTGATTCAAACCCAACATATATTTCTAACCTTCTCTGCGGGCCCATCTTACTGCACTGTGGTGGTGCTACTGGCACATATACAATACATCCAAAAATTCGTAGATGGGCAATATTTGGTTCATGACCAAAAACTAATTGTGATGGAGATTATTTATTATAATGTGTCGGTCTGAGACGGATAAGTGATGCTGCATGCAAGATAGCATGGCCCCAAACAGTAGTGGGCAATTTTATTTTCATAAGTAGTGGTCTTGCATTCAATTGTAGGCATTTAATAAATGACTCTGCAAGGCCATTTTGAGTATGAACATAAGCTACAGGATGTTCAACTTTTATCCCAACTGATAGACAATAATCATCAAAAGCTTGAGATGAGAATTCTCCAGCATTATCAAGGCGAATAGCCTTTATAGGATAATCTGGGAATTGTGCCCTTAATCGAATTATTTGGGCTAATAGCTTTGCAAACGCCAGGTTGCGAGATGATAGTAGGCACACATGAGACCATCTTGAAGATGCATCTATTAGGACCATAAAATATCTAAACAACCCACTTGGTGGGTGAATAGGTCCACATATATCCCCATGTATACGTTCTAAGAAGGTAGGGGACTCAATGCTAACCTTCATTGGTGATGGTCTAGTGATCATTTTGCCTTGATAACAAGCATCACAAGAAAATTCATCATTTGAAAGAATCTTCAGGTTCTTTAATAGATGCCCACTCGAATTTTCAGTAATTCGCCTTATCATTATTGATCCAGGATGGCCCAAACGGCCATGCCAAAGCATAAAAGTATTTGAATCAGTAAACTTCCGATTTACGATAGAGTGTGCTTCAACTGTACTAATCTTTGAATAGTATAAGCCAGAAGATAAAGTTGGTAACTTTTCTACAATGCACTTTTAGCCAGAAACATTCTTTGTAATACAAAGATATTCCATATTCATTTCATCTATCGTCTCAACATGATACCCATTTCGGCGGATATCCATAAAACTCAACAAGTTTCTTCGGGACTTGGAGGAGAATAATGCATTGTCTGTAATAAGTTTTGTTTCCTTAAACAGAAATACAATAGCTCTTCCGGAGCCTTCAATCAAACTTATATTACCAGAAATTGTAGAAACATTTGCTTTTTCCTTATGCAAATAAGAAAAGTATTTATGATCTTTGAATATGGCATGAGTTGTTCCACTATCAATTACACAAATATCTTCATGATGGTTTTTGATCCAAATATAATTTGAGAATTATCCATATTCTTCAAAATGACATAAACAAAATAAATATGATAGTAAACAT